GTGGCGGCCTGTGGGACCTGCTTCCGTTCCCCTGTGGGGCTGTGGGAGGCTGTGGGGTCCCTCCTCCTACGGGACTGGGGAGCACCCCCTTTCCTTGGGGGCAGAGCTGGGGGATCCCCCCAAGTGGGACATGGCGGGGGGGGATGGGACGGGACAGCCATGACAGTCCCTCATGGGTCCCCATTGTGTGGGGTGGACAGGGCTGTGGACCACCCCCCTTCTGCCCCAGATCAGAGGGGGTTGGAGGGAGGGATGTGTGACATGTCCTCTCCTATTGTCTGCTCAAGTTGTGGGGCTCTGTGTGGCGGGGGCCTCCATGCTCTGTCCCTGTGCCCCGGAGCTGCCCTGGTCCTTTGCCAGCCCCCTCGTCTATCCACAGGAGACACTGATGGGGAAGTACGGGGAGGAGGCGAAGCTCATCTACGAGCTGCAGGACCAGGGAGGGGAGCTGCTGGCCCTGCGCTATGACCTGACTGTATCCTGCGCTCCCCACTGCCACTCTCGTCCCAGGGATGGTTGCACACTGAGGTCGCTGTCACCTCTGCTTTGTTGGGTTGTCCTTCATAGAATTACAGAGTGGTTTGGCTTGGAAGAGGCTGTTAAAGGCCATCTAGTCCAATGCCCCTGCTGTGGGCAGGGACATTTTCCACTAGATCGGGTTGCTCAGAGCCCCATCCAACCTGGCCTGGAATGTCTCCAGGGATGGGGCAGCCACCACCTCTCTGGGCAACCTGGCTGTCTCACCACCCTCACCATAAAAAATGTCTTCCTTATATCTAGTCTAAATACACCCTCCTTTAATTTAAAGCCATCACCCCTTGTCCTCTCGCAACAGGCCCTGCCAAAAAGTCTGTCCCCATCTTTCTTGTAAGCCCCGTTTAAGTACTGAAATGCCACAATAAGATCTCCCTGGAGCCTTCTCTTCTCCAGGCTGAACCCCTCCAACCCTCTCAGCCTGTCCTCCCAGCAGAGGGGCTCCAGCCCTCCCAGCATCTCCAGGGCCTCCTCTGGCCCCGCTCCAACAGCTCTGTGTCCTTCTGCTGTTGGGACCCCCCGAGCTGGAGGCAGCACTGCAGGGGGGTCTCCCCAGAGCACAGCAGAGGGGCAGAATCCCTTCCCTTGCCCTGCTGGCCACGCTGCTGGGGATGCAGCCCAGGATGCTGGTGGCTTTCTGGGCTGCCAGTGCACACTGCTGCCTTGTGGCCAGTTTTTCACCGCCCTCAGCACCCCCAAGTCCTCTCCATCCCTTCATCCCCCAGCCTGTATTGATGCCCGCGATTGCCCCAACCCAGGTGCAGAACCCTGCACTTGGCCTTGTTGAACCTCATGAGGTTCACACAGGCCCGTTCCTCGACCTTCTCCCAGTCCCTCTTAATGGTATCCCGTCCCTCAGGTGTGTCAACCACCCCATTCAGCTTGGTGTCATCTACAAACTCACTGAGGGTGCCCTCAATCCCACTGCTTATGTCATTGATGAAGATACCGAACCATATTGTCCTGCTCTGCCTGCAGATCCTATTGGGGTGATGGAAGCCCTCTTCCTGCTAAGCGGTGGTTGCCACCACTGTCCTTGGCATGATCCCACCTCAAACCACCCCACATCCAGTCCATGATCTGCTGCAAAGTGGCCCTTTCTCCTGTGGATGTGCACCAGTATGGTCCGCTGTACTGGTTTTACCTCCTCCCAGTTACAGTCCTCACCTTTGTGTGCTCCTGTCCTGCCCATCCCACCTTTCCAGGGTTTTGGTAGCTCTTCTGAGAGGGCAGCGGTGTTTGCTGTGGGTACAAAGCAGGTGTCCATCCCAGGCCTTCTCCACCTCCACATCTCACCAAAAAACTCTCCACTTTGATGTCTGTATGACTGTGGAATTCTCTGTGCTTGCACCTTAAGAGGGTGAGATGACGTAGCAAAGGTCTGTGTTTGAGAGTTTGAGATGTGGTTCAGAAGAAGGAGATGGAGTTGTCCTGGTGTTGGAAGACCTCAGCATGGTTTATCATACTCATCAGCCTTGGTTGATGATCTCCCTAGAGCTGCTCCTCGGGGAGCAGCTGGCAAAGCAAGGGGATGGGGTGCTTTGAGGTTCACCTTTCCGCAGCTCAGGTCATCTCCACGTTCCTGTCCTTAACTCCTTGGCCCCCCAGGTGCCCTTCGCTCGCTATTTGGCGATGAACAAGATCACCAACATTAAGCGGTACCACATCGCTAAGGTCTACAGGCGGGACAACCCGGCCATGACAAGGGGCCGCTACAGGGAGTTCTACCAGTGCGTGAGTGTTGTGGCAGCTGCTGTGCGAGGGCATGAAACCACGTGGGGGACTGGTGTGGGTTTTACCAGCTGGGTTGCCTTTAGCTGCCGCGGGGCCATGTGGGGTGCCTGGCGGAGCTGAAGCACCTCAACTGTGCCAGGAGCCTCTGCTGCTTCTTCTGCCCTCAGGATTTTGACATCGCCGGGCAATTTGACCCAATGATTCCCGATGCCGAGTGCCTGAAGATTGTGCATGAGATCCTGAGTGACCTGCAGCTCGGAGACTTTCTTATTAAGGTGAGATCAGACCCAAGGGGTTTTCACACCTTGGCATCTTCCCTTCCCGTGGGATCAAGGTGCTGGTGAGTAGGCACAAAGAAGCGCCAATAGCTGCAGCTTCCTGCACCCCTGGGCCAAGAAGAAATGGCGATGAGGAGATCTAACCTGTGCTAAATGAGCCTCTCTCACCTCCAGGTCAATGACCGACGGATTTTGAATGGTGTGTTTGCTGTCTGCGGCATCCCAGAGAGCAAGTTCATAACTACATGCTCTACCATAGACAAGCTGGACAAGGTAAGCGTTGTGTTCCTGGGGAGATTGCTTCTGGTCTGGGGGGATGTCGATGTCTCAGGCTGGGCAGTGTTGTGGCTGTTCTCATCATAAAGAGGTTCACAGCAGCTAAGCTGTTGGTGTTTGTAAAGGATTTGTTGAGCTCTTGCGCATGGTTAAGAATAAAGCCTCGCATTTCCAGTGGTTTCTGTTAACAATTCCCGTGAGAGAGGCGCAAATCATTAGTGAGATTGCTGATTGCTGTCATCCTGCGTATTGTGAGTACATGGCCTGGTGGAGACAGTGGGTGATGAGAGTGTTCTGCCGCAGCAGAGGTTCTCGTTTCCCCTCACAGCTGCCATGGGAAGAAGTGAAGAATGAGATGGTAGGAGAGGAGGGGCTCTCTCCCGAGGCTGCAGATCGCATTGGGGAGTACGTCCAGCTTCATGGTGAGCACTGTGGGGTCGAGCCCTTGGCCTCATTCCTCCAGGCCGGGCAGGCAGGGCCAGTGACACAGGGGTGCAAGGTGCACACACAGCTGGCCGGGCCCTTTGTCGCGGCTGCTGCTGCACTGGCA